GTCGAAAAAAGTCATATTATAGTATCTCGAAAAAAGTCATAGTATAGCATGTCGAAAAAGGTCATAGTATAGTATGTTGAAAAAAGTCACAGTATAGTATGTTGAAAAAAGTCATAGTATAGTATGTTGAAAAAGGTCATAGTATAGTATGTCGAAAAAGGTCATAGTATAGTATGTTGAAAAAAGTCATAGTATAGTATGTCGAATGAAGTCATAAAAAGTATATAGTATGTCTAAAAAAGTCATAGTATAGTATGTTGAAAAAGTCAAGTTAGTTATAAAAGTCACAGAAAATTGTCATAGTATAGTAAGTCCAAAAATAATCGTAGTATAGCAATATAAAATGTGATTTTGACCCCATAATGACCGCTCACCTGGATCTCTGGGCCTGAGGCGCTCTTCTTAGAGGGCCGGTAGCCATAGTACTCCTCCTGACGCTTCAAAAACTTGCGGAAATGATCCTGGATCAGGAAGGTGGAGTAGAATTTCCCCACAGTCACCTCATCATCTGTAATCAGACAAGTCACAGTGCTGTCAGGGTGAAAAACAGTGGATTATTTTGTAAAGGTGCAATTTAAGTATTTCTATTTATCTTGAAAGACTCACCTCCAATAGGCGGGATGACCTGGTCTAACAGTTTCATACTTGTGCGTTTCCAGATTGATTTTATAATGGCTCTCAGCTCCTCGTTGGCCTGCTCAAAGTTACCTGTTTAGAACAATGTACATTACTTGTACATCAAGTTGAAGTCACAGATATACAATTTTAAATGCTCTGTACCTTCTGTTTTGATCTTGAGTGCAGTCCTGACGAGAGCAAACAGGGTGGCATTAAAGGTGACGGTGCCATCGCTGTTGAGAGGCATGTTCATGCCAATCAAGCGCTGTGGACAGGAAGCTGCTTTTTAAAATTGATACTAGTCTACCCACCCAATCGTTTTAAACAGTGCATCTTTTAAAATAAATTAATACCATGCTTTATCATTCATATTTGACATTCATTATTTTCTTTCCTTTTAATGTAATTCAAGCATACGTATGGTTGACCTTGTATTTTTCATTTGTAAATTGTACTTTCACAAATGCAAATGATCTGCATCTAAACCAAATCAGTGTAGTATGCCATAACAAATATCTTTACAAATTTCATAGTGTAGTTTATCATAAAAATGTAAAAATAAATGTCATAGTATTCCATAATATAGTCATAAAATCTAAACCAATCTAATACAGCCTAATCGTTTCTAAAATATTCAAAATGACATTGTAAGACCTGTACACTATTAATAGTTTTCATTGGGATATTAAATATGTTATGGTCTCACTTTTTGTGTAGTGTGTGTCTCTTTATACTATTATAGTACAATGTCCATTTACAATGATTTTATTGTATTGTTAATGTTTTCAATCAACATACATAAGACCCTTCTAACAGCCTGTCTGATGAGTTGTATATATAATTGCACCACATGGTCCTTGACACTGTTTATGACTGTACTGTATGTACCTTGCATGCAGCACGATGAGGACAGAACTTGCCAAAGCCCAGTGGAGGCTGGAGACGTCGCAACAGCGTCACCACGTCCAGATGCTTAATTCTCCCCCTGTTAAATCAGAAAAAATTTAGGGGTCATTTTAAGGGGCACCAATTAGAATCTGGCCTATTTATTGTGTTGACTGAGCATAAATAAATGAAGGGTCAAGTTTCACTAGTGTTCAGGCTTACGTGGCTTCAGGGTCATATTCAGCCCAGATCTTCTTAAACTCATCCAGATGGTGTGGACCAAGAAGAGACCAATCACGGGTTAGGTAGTCAAAGTTGTCCATGATGACAGCTACAAACAGGTTGAGGATCTGAGGTAGGTAAGAAAAAAAGACACTTATTCACACAGTTTTAAACTGTCTGGGCAAAGAAGGTATTTTTTTATTAAAAAAATATAACAACATATAACAACAGATACTAATGAAGCTTAAAGATAAATGTTGCTGCTCACCAGGAAGGCACAGAGACAGTAGAAGCTGAGGAAGTAGAAGACAGCGAAGTTGGACCCGCAGGTGAACTCCTCACCTGGCAGGAAGTCAGACTTGGGGTCACACTTCTTCCCATACATTGAAGCCATCATGACTTCCTGCCAAGCCTCTCCAGTAGCACACCTGGGTGTTTAAACCAAAGTGAGATTCTGGCTCAGTTTATGACCTTGCAGCCAATGGGCTTTCAACCAACAATGCTCGCTTGAAGACTCACCGGAATAACATCAGAACCGCCTGAGGGAATGTCTGGAAGTTGTTGTTGCGGTTGATTTGGGTGCCATCAACTAAGGATACCTTTCCAAAGATCTGAAGGGTTGTTTGAAATCCCAGCCGAAAATTGGTGACGAATACAGAAACTTGTCTTCGTGGCATTTATTCAAAAACACATTAACAATCTAAAGAGGTTGAAATGTTTCTATACAGAAAATAAAAATGGAAGACTTGAGTACCTGCATCCCGATGACAGCGTAGATAAAGAAGAGCATTATGATGAGCAAAGCTACGTGAGGAAGAGCCTGTAAGACACAAACACAAACAGTTTGGTCATTCATTTTTATTTCCACTTTCAACATGTTTTTTAACAATACTTTTTAATATGAGTGTGACTGACCTGGAAGGATTTAATGAAGGTCCACAGCAGGTTACGGATGCCCTCCGAACGGTTCAGCAGCTTGACCAGACGCATGACACGGAAGAGTCGGAAGAACGTGATGGAAACTGAGGCATTTTCAGACGCCTACAGACACAAAGACCGGAGGATTTGAGGAAAAGAAAACTTGAAAAGAGAAAAACATTGCTGGTTAAGTTTAGGCTTACCGCAATTGCTTGCATAGGATTTGTTTCCTGCACAAAGTAGATGAAAAGATGAAATACTGTAGTTACATGAGTTATGTTTGATAGAAGTTGTGATATCATTATTAAGAGGTACATAGCAGACATAGCACTGACTTGTTAAACATTGTTAAGGTTTGATTTACAATCACAAATCAGGGTTAATATTAGAGAGCAATCTTTCCACCTTTGATGAGTTACAAAGCCTCCAGGTCTTAGTTGCTGAAGACCAGAAAAACAACTACAATTTCTATCTCATGCGAAATAAACTCTATACAAACTTCATTGTCAAAATATTAAAGCTGCAGTGTGGAACTTTTGTCTTGCCCTTATAGTAGTAAGAGTAATTACCATATGGGAGAGACCAGCGACAGAGCAGGAGCTAGGAGTATGCTGGAAGCTATGGTTTTTTTAAGAAGCGCCGAAGAAAAGTTTCTGGAGTGGAAGCTCCAGATAAAAAATTAATTTGTTTCAAGAGGAAGAATTAAAGTTAAAAAAGAAATTGCACAGGAAGATTCGAAGAGAACGCTCCTGTGGGTGGGGAAGATGCGGCAAGTTCACTTACAGGCAATCGTGCGTCAGTGTGGGAAAGTTGCCACAGACACAAGACACCACAACTCCAGTATACTGCGATATACGGAGAGCTTTCCCTGGTAAAAGTCCTGTACAGTCAATCCAGCCATTATTAATACTTGCTGGGCTGATATAGTCAATGTTGAGCCCTTATAGTATTATAAGGGCATATCAAACGCCTTTAGGTCTTATCTTACGTTTGCACTGGTTCACCAGAAGTATGAGCCACACAGGGTCCAGTAGTACTAAAGTTTAGTAGAGAACATAGTGGAGTGCTCACACAGCAAGGCTCATGCAGCAGTGCAGTGCAGTGAAGATCAGATATTTACAGCACAGCCATGGAGACAGTACAGTCCTCCACTGGCAGCCAGGGCACTCTGTGGAGGATAGACAGATGAGGAGTGAGGTGCGTGGAGGACAGAGAATTGAGAGGGAATATAAGCAAAAGAAGAAGAGAAAGGGGGGATGGGAGATAAAGAGGAAAATAGGAGAAGATGTGAAACTAGACAAAGAAAACAGAAATTACTAAAAGCTTGTGTTTGTGGATGGAAAAGGTGAGGACAATGCAGTGAGAGAAACAGTGACTGGCAAGAAAAAACACTGGGTTTGTGTAGCATAACCCCATGAAATACCACTAAAACACTTTACTGATATGGTGCTCTTTTTCATTTTAAGTGCTCAGACAACACACAAACATCAAATCACATAAAATATTGTAATGGATAATTGTGGGAATAATGGAAAGTTTGGTGGCTGTGTAATGGAAATGGCGATTCGCACAAGGCACTGAGGAGGTTGGGAGAAAGGGAGCTGGGGTGGGAATGGCCAACGAAAGTACTGACCACGTTCGGTGAGCTAGTTCTGCTGGCAACAATCAGCTGTTGGGCAAAGTTTATATGCTTCTGCGTCAGAGCATTGAATAAATACATTTAGTCGATTCAAATCTAATCACACTATTGACTGGAAATGTCTCATTAAGACAAAACCAAGGACTTTCATACACAACACCTGCAATGTGAATCTGAAATCAGTGGAATTCATTGGAATCGATAAGACGTATAAAAGTTCTATCATACTCACATCGACTTCGCTAAGGATGACATCAACGACACTACCGATGACAATGACGAAGTCAAAGACGTTCCAGGGGTCTCCAAAGTAGCCCTGCACACACAGATACAGCATAAAGTGTGACACAGTAGGACATTGGATTGGGTGGATAATCATCTGAGTGTGAGGCTGTTACCCTCGCTTTGAAGGCCATGAGCTTGAGAATCATCTCCAGAGTGAAGAGCACGGTGAAGATCACGTTCAGGGTGTCTGACACCTTGGTCACATGGTCGGACTGGTTGCAGTGCTGTTTACAGTGGAATAAAAATATTAATCTCAACAACACTAACTATTAATCTGATGTAGTTTTAGTACAAAATGTAGTTTTATTGAAGATAATTGCACAAAACTTGAAGGAAATTTACAAAATGTACCGGCTTAAAGCCCATCAGTTTTTTCTCTAAAGCATTAATTATTTGACTGGACAAATAATATAAGAGTTTAAAAAAGACATCTTGTGGCATTTCTCATGTCAGAGGCAGAAGATCCTTGAGCATGTTGCCGGTTTCTACCACAAACAATTGGTTTTATTGTTTTCTGATTATCCGTTCATCTTCCTGTTGCCACCACCTCCAGCCCTTTGGTACATGCTGAACATCGTTTTGGTGAGTACCATGTTATCTTAAGCAATGGAAATGATGGCAAAACCTAATAAATAAGATCAAAATTGTCTTACAATTTAATTAGCATTTAATAAAGAATTAATCATGTCCATAATGAAACTTTAACAACTGGATCTCACCCTCTCAGTGTATTGTCTGGTCCCTTTTTACCATCGTTACATACAAAAATTGTTGGTGTTTCTGTGCAAACACACCTAATCCTGCCCAATATTAGTCTGGGACTTTGCTGGAAATCCATTTACAGTATATGCCCCGTATTTTGAATACAGGTTCAAAATTTTTCTCATTAATTAAATGATAAATGTTTTTAGGTTGCAGCACGATCTTAATTTACATACCTGCATCCCCAGACACAAGGTGTTGAGCATAATTAGGAAGAACATGAGGTATTCAAAGTAGCAGGAGGTGACAATGTACCAGACTCTGTACTGGTTAGGGTTTTTGGGGATGTAGCATCTCAGAGGTCGAGCTTTCAGGGCGTACTGCACACATTGGCGCTGAAGTGGAGGCAGAAGGTGGGTTATAAGAAAAGAATATTCGACACAACATTTTTTAGATTTCACTGGAAATGATTGGTGTCTTAGTGTACCTGGTTCTTGTCCAGCTCGCAGTCCTTGTACTCCTGCTCGCCCTGCTCCTGGAAAGTGACAATGACGAAGCCCACAAAGATGTTCATCATGAAGAAGGCAATGAGGATGATGTAGACGATGAAGAAGATGGACACATCTACGCGATTGTTGAAGACAGGACCCATGTCTTCTTCGTCTGAATCAATGGCTCTGTACAACAGTCTGGAAACAAATGGAGTGATGTTGAGAGACGAGGGAACATTTTCAAGACAAAGATCAAAGATCAGAAATACCAGAAGGCTAATTTTTATATATGGAATTAATTATTCAGTGGATTCAAAAATATATATATTGCCTTTATTACCATCTCTGGCTCCAGGAAATGGAATAACTTCCAACTAAATACCCACATAATAAGATATTCTGTCATCTAACACAATCAAACAGATGTGATAGAAAAATGGCAATTTAGCAAATGAAAATGTATGCTGTGCTTACTTTGGCCAGCCCTCAAATGTGGAAACAGTGAAGAGAGCCAGCATGCCAGAGAACACATTGTCAAAGTTGAAGTCATTGTTGAGCCATTCTCTCTTAGCCAACACTGTGTCTTGTAGGGAATTCTCCATGTGCTTCACAAAGAGTCCCCTGAAAGCAGACACAGAGAACGGTGACTCTAAAATAGCATTGCGGTTTTGATAGATGTGATCTACGATGTGTGAAAGATGTTTGCCTTACTGGCATTCCTCTCCTGTCATTTTCAACGAGTCTGTGCAGCTGTAGAATTTACCCTAGCAGGGAAAGGATTAGGGACACATTTAATACATAAGCAGCAAGGCATCTATAGTTATAGTAGATTCATCGGGAAATAGGACCTTAACAGTATTATAATACTTTTAATGTCAACATCATCTTTTTACAAATTACCTTGAAGAGCTGCACTCCGATACAGGCAAACATGAAATTTATCAGCATGGTGACCATGACGATGTTGCCGATGGTTTTGATGGCCACAAACACACATTGGACCACATGCTGTCATAAAAGAAAAACAATGACCACTTAATACTGTGAATACATGTACTAGTACAATTTTGAGGTATTGTACTTTACTTGTATTTCCATTGTAAGATACTTTATATTACCACTCAACCACATACAACAGAATCAAATATTGTACTTTTTAGACTCTTTTAATAACTATAGCAAGTTTTCAGATTAATATTTAACATAAACACATTTTATTAGCCTATAAAATACAAGGCATTGCTAAAGATACCAGTGGTTTGTATATTTGCTTGTGAACATTCACAAAAAGCAGTGTCTTGCTGGGCCTCTGTCATTTGATGCTTTAACTAAAGTAATATTTTGAATGCAGAACTTTTACTCGTGATTGAGTATTTTTTATAGTGTTGTATTGACTGTATTGTATTATTAAGTACAGGATCTGGTTACTTCTTCTACCACTGGAAACATATAGATTTCCCCAGGGGGAATTACTGTATTCATGCATGTGTTGTACCTTTAACCCTTTGGCTCTATTGATGGCCCTGAGAGGCCTCAGCACCCTCAGCACCCTGAGAATCTTCACCACAGAGATGGCACTGGATCTGCATACAGCACATGACAAAAACAAAATCTTAAAATGTGCATGTGGCACATATCTATCTAATAGGGCAATCTCAAAATGTTTACTCACTCCATCCCCATAGAAAGTAGAGAGACTCCAACCACAATCAGATCCAGGATGTTGAAGGAGTTACGGCAGAAGGAGCCCTCGTGCATGAATGCTCCATATACTGTCATCTGTCATTCAGATACATACAGTAACACCCAGGACATTGCACCAAACATACTTGTGTTTAAGCTTTTCATTTAGTCAGAAGAACTCGTGTTGCATTGAATGTCAAATAGAACTGTGAAAAGTAGTTGATTAATCAATCGGTCAATTGACAGAACATTAATCTGATTCCTTTTAATTGACTGATTATCGATAATGAAAGTAAATCTATTTTCAGCTCTAATGTTGACAATTGTTGTTTATTTCCAGCAGTGGGGCTTTAAATACTATCATTGTTAATTAAGTAGCTTCCCAGTGATTCCTGTGAAACATGTAAGGCCTTCAAAGAAACCTGCCTCATCCTGGTCCGACATGTTTCACCCCCACATAAAACAATTTCATTATTATGAAGTAAGATTCTAGTGACCTGTTATACATAGAATGCTGTTTCAGAGGCTTTTGCCTTTGCCAAGTATAACATTAGAGATTTAATTGTTTAGTTTTCTGTAATTTCTGGAACAAAATGCTCAAATTCAAACACAGAATATCAGAAAAAATGCATCATCAGCTTCAGAAGAAAACTATCTATATGTGTTATCTGGTATCTTGACTTCAAAGAACCACATCGGTCAACACAAATAGGGCAGAACATAAAAAAAATACAGCACATTACCTTCAGTACTATCTCAATGGTGAACACAGTTGTGAAGACAATGTCAGCATAGGCCAATATCTGGAGGAAAAGCACAAAGGTTTGCTGTCAAATGTTGTCCTTCTTTCAATCGATAATGCTCTGAGTAGTGGTAGACCCGGTTGTTACCTTGTTTCTGTAGGACTTGGGATCGATGGGGTCCTCAGCTGCCAGGGAGATGGAGGAGAGCAGGATGAACAGAAGGATTAAGTTGGTGAAGGAGGAGGCATTGATGATCTTGTAGCACAGTTTACGAAACCTGGATACCAACAAATATGCAAAGACATACAGTCATCAGTGAGTTCAATCAATTCACTGTTGGGTTTTCATGGTACAGCATGAGAAAACTCAGAAATATAACCACTGTTATTCTCAGGTTGGTATGGCTGGTTCCTACTTGTTCTGAGGGCTAAAAATGAAAAAGGAGCTGGCTTCAGGCAATGGAACGGCTTCTTCCTTCAGCTGCAGGTCGGCCATCGGTCGGGGCCGAGGGCTGATGGGGATTTCGGGCTCTACCTCCTCGTCATCACCTACCATGTGGAAGGAAATAGACTCAAATTTCTACAGTGCAATGACAAATTAACTTTAAAACTGGTTGGTAGTAGTTGTGTTGCAGCATTACAGAAGAAAATAAAAAGCAAAAATCAAGCAAATTAAACCAATATTGTTGAAAAAAGGGGAAATCTCTCTATATTCAATCATGTTATAGACCTTAGATGGTAGTCACAGGAGTAGTGTGAAAAGAGCCTAACTTTAGACTCTGCTATAAACTCGACTGAGTCTAATAATAATAATGAAGGGTTACTATACTTATACTGTAGCCAGGATAGCAGCACTGGTAAACAGCCAGTGTAATGAATATCAATTACTGCGATCAGTGACCACCTCCTGCCACAACTACATCACTGAGAAATGTGAGAGGACGAAGAGTTTGAGTAGAGGTTTAGACATTTATTACCTGGGAAGTCGTCAGGTGGGAAAGGATCTTTCACTTCATTGACATTGGACTCAAACTCGTCAACTTTGAGCTGAAAAAACAAATAAACATGTATTATAGCAACTTATGCTCCTGATTAATATATAATTACCGACAGTAAATATGTGATATGATACCAGAAATAACACTAACCTTGGCTGTTGTGGGCATGATCTCCATCTTGGCTCTCTGCTCTGCCAGTTTCTTTGCTATCCTCTCCCTGTCCTCATCAGTCTTCTCAGGCATTTTGGACCTGGAGGGTAATAAAAAGAGGGAACATAGTAAAGTCTAGCTGTGAGAAGACGGAGCAAATCCTCGCACTTATGTTATGTATTCTGTTTCTCACCTTAGTAACTTTCTTCTCAACTTCTCCTCCGCCTTTTCTTTCTGAGCTGAAGTCAGACTCTCAGCCTCTGCCAGGTTGTCGACGGCGATGGCCAAGAAGACATTGAGGAGGATATCTGATCGCACTAAACTCAGGAGAATAAACACCTTTTTTATTTTTATTATTGCGAAGTATCCAAGTTTTAGCCACTTTTCTTCTAGCCCTACCATGAGATTGACTTGAGATTTTGAGTGAAACAACTCAACAACTATTGCATTGATTGCTATTAAATCGTGTTCACACATTCATGTCATCAGGATAGAACTCCGATGTCTATTGTGTTTAGTGCCAATTAGTAAATGTTAGCAAACTAAGCCAGTCGCATGCCTGTAGATTACAAGATTACACTGTGAGTGTATGTGAAGGATACAGTTTCCACACACAAAGAGGATGATAAAGAAGATGGCGACCAGGATGCCAGGAAATTCAGGCCCTCCATAGGCCATAATGCCATTGTTCATTATGGTGGTCCAGTCCTCTCCTGTAAGGATCTGAGAGACAGCCATGTGTTAAAAAACAGACGGTGATTCATTATCGTCAGGTATGAAAGGATGATGTAGATGCTACCACTGTTAATGAAAGTAATGATACCCTATGGATCATCAAAATCAGGCAAGAAAGGTTTAACAAAATCAAAGCTGACATTGCTGGGAGTTTAAAGCAGACCATCTATGAATCAGTGTCAAGCTTCACCTGAAAAACACTGATGAGGGCCTGAGGGAAGTTGTCAAAGTTACTGCGTCTGGGTCTGTGGTCGGTAAAGTTGAATTTCCCCCCAAACACCTGCATTCCCAGCAGGGAGAAAATGACGATGAAGAGGAAGAGAAGTAGGAGCAGGGAGGCAATGGAGCGTACAGAGTTGAGGAGAGAAGCCACAAAATTACTCAAAGAGGTCCAATACCTGCAAAACAGTGAGAAGGAGAGAGGTGTGAAATTACATTGACTCACACTTAATGCAACACGATCCTTTGAGGGGACATGACTTACTTTGTTACTTTAAGGATCCTCAGCAGCCGGATACACCTTAGTACAGAGAAACCCAAGGGAGCCACGGCTCCTGCAGAGAACATGATCATCTCCAGGATACCGCAGAGCACCACAAAGAAGTCAAAGCGGTTAAATAGGGACATGAAATATGCTCTTGGACCCAGAGCATACATCTTCACAAACATCTCTACGATGAACAGCACCAGCAGTATTCGACTGGCCACATCTGATGAGATAAGAGGGGAAGGGGAGATGAATGGATGGAGCTGGGAGTGATATCATTTTATTTAAAATTAAATATTTAAATACTATTTTATTCACCAACCTTGTAGAGACGTGAGCGAGTCAGGCTGGTGGTGGTGTTCTGTTGCTATGGTCAGGGTGTTGAGGAAGACGAGAAACATCACTAGCCAGTAAAAGCTCTTAGTTTTCACATACAGCAGACACTTCATCCTGAAGAAACGGTTCCAGCGACGGGCCAGGCGACTAAACACAAGAATAACCCTGGCTTACTGTGTCGAGTCACGTGAATATTGTATGTAAACATTGATACAATTACATAACTGCAGACTCACTAGTAGTAGACAATTTGGCCCTTGCCTTCCAGGTCATACAGGCTGTCTGTATCAGGGTCGCTGGTTAAAGGCAGGAATCCTGACAAGAGAAGAACAAATATGATTTAGTATCTCTACAAGGGATTGGTCCTGACGTGGATTGTAGTGCTGACCTTTGCCCTCTCGGTCAGCATCCAGGACTTCAGCGTGAGTGATCCACTCCATGTAGCCATGCACGTCTTCATCCAGTTGCTGACACTCTCGCAACTTCTGGAACTCTCCACGTGACCTGGCCTTCTCTCGCTCTTTGGTAAATTCTCTGAGTGGAAAGACAAAGAAAAGCATAAAAGCATTAGTGGTTATTTTTTTGCTTGTTCACGCAAAAAGGCAAGATTTAGACATTAGAAAGGATAGAAGATTATAATTGTCTTACCCACTGAGCACACCCAGAACCAAATTAAGCACGAAGAAGGAACCCAGCAGAATGAGGGGCACGAAGTAGACCCAGGGCCATTCATTTCCCATGGCATCATTAACCTGAAAGACAACTCTTTGTCAGCCACAAACAATGAATTCTGTTAGGTATACTTTACACAACATATACCTAAAATGTAGACAGATGTAAAGGTTTTGGTGGCAAGAGCACAAACACTGAAAATAAAAAAACAACCGAGAAGATGTTCAAGCAGTCACTGACCCAGTAGAGAACTTTGGTCCATCCCTCCATGGTGATACATTGGTAGACTGTAAGCATGGCAAAGCCAATGTTATCAAAGTGGGTGATGCCATTGTTGGGACCCTCCCAGCCTGGCCGACACTCAGAGCCGTTGATCATGCAGCGGCGTCCGTTACCAGCCTGAGCACATGGTGCAGGCAGCTCGCCTTCTGCTGTGGAATAGAGGTCTGTGGGCAAAAGAGACGAGATACATTTATTTAAATGGAGTTTCGGGGGAATTATAGCTGGTAATATAGTATCAGGTATGACTATAAATAACAAAATAAAAGCTCAAATGAAGCAACGTCACGATTGTGCCCTTTACACTTACTTGTGCCAGTGTAATAGCAGGTTTTATGCATTTTGCACTTGAATAGCTCCAGTCCCATGATGGCATAGATGGTGACCAGTAAAAAGACGAGAAGGGCAATGTGCAGCAGAGGCAGCATGGCTTTAAGGATGGAGTTCATCACCACCTGCAGGCCTGAATGTGAACAGTAAAACCATTACAACAGAACAACATCTCAGCACTGTTTCCAGGAAGCTTTCTTCACATAAAATGTATTTCCACATTAATCACACAGTGTTACATGGACACAAGGTGTTTCTGCAGCATTTTTGGATTACAGAAGAGGCTCTTACTGGGGACTCCAGAGACGAGACGTAAGGGTCGCAGCACTCTGAAGGCTCTCAGTGCCTTCATGTCAAACCCCCCGCCCTTCTCCTTTGGCACACCTGCTATCTTATTGATGGTATCCAAGGCAAAGGTGAAGAGACTGTAGGAAATATTACACAACCATAAGTGTCCAACCCCTCCTCAATACAATATTCCAGTTCAGATGTGACTGTAAGATATAAAATGTTTAACAAAATGTCAATGGCAGTTTCATAGATGTGGTTTAACGCTGTGGTAGAGATATCCACATGCAGCTTGGAGCTCATCTTACCCCATGAAGACGATGACAAAGTCCAATATGTTCCAACAGTTACGTAAATAGGCGCCTTCGTGGAACACAAGCCCATACGCCACTATCTTCAGAAAGCACTCTAACGTGAATATGATCAGGAAGATGTACTCCAAACTCTCCTGCAGCGAGACAAACACATGCCTGGAAATTACATTATATAAAGCTCACACCTTATAGGTTCAATTCTCAAGTAACGAGTGATTGGAGTAAGTTACAACTTTGGCATTGAAGCACCGGCTACGGGGAATAGCAGTAGATGTTGTTGGTAATAGAATAACTCATTAGCTTTAGTAGCCTCATGGCTAATTGTGATTAGCTATGAGGCTACTGTTTAATGCAGATTAAACATGACCTCAATAGGTTTAAACAGATCGATGGCCCATGTGTCACATTATGATTACTGAAACCAGCCACAATTCACAAGCTTTGTCTGACAGTTTAAGACAAAGCAAACTCTTGGCGGATATTTTAAATGTTTAGTTCAGAGGTGGTAAACAGATAAATATCACATCTATGGAATAAAATCACCTGTTTGCAAATCAGGCCTTTATCATCAGTGCTGATATTTTCAGAGACAAACAGCAGACAGACACAGGGCTGAGTATGGGTTTCCTCAGTGGTGACTGCCACTGACAACAAATGAATGAAGACGATGGAACGCACACAAGAGGAACTAACATAACTGCAACGTCAGGGTAGTATTATTTTGCTACCAAAGCACTCCATCACACATATTTGCTTACAATTGTCCTCATTAGATCCACACTACTTCTTTTGCTCGTCATTGCTGACGTAAATACAAATGTTGGAGAAGATGAGAACAGTACCATAGAGCCTCCAGGGAATCCTGCCACAACTTCATTCATCATCAAAGTTCCGTTGAAGTACAGCGTAATATAAATTATATATGATATGCTGTTTGTTTCCCTTTGATCCTTTTAAACAAATCAGGTCAATCGTTTTTGGCTGAATCATCCAACAGCAGTCCCCCAAGCCCTAATCGATTAGAATATCCAAGGCCAACCTTGCATACATTAACAATACTACATACATGTATTGACTAACTCAAGAAATGGAGAGGAGGAACAAGCAGAGCAGCGCTTCTACATTGTAGTGTATCAATGTTACGAGCCATCATATTTAGTACATGAGTGTACAGTAAATGTGGTTACATGACGCACCATTTGTGGACTCTCCTGTAGCCACTTGCGTCACGGAGTGACACTGCCAGTGCCGACATACTTCTAACAGCAAAAAGGGGGGTTAAGTTGACCAGCTCCTGTTACATCGTTCACCTCTGAGGAATGGCTCAGTAAGAAGTAAGAAGGATTTGGTGGAAGGCTGGTGAGTGGGCCAAAGTAAAGATATTAAAGAAATGGGGTCAGTTTCAGGTTCAGATATCTGATGACTTAATGAATTTAGCTGTCAATCAGTTGGATATCAACCTAGTGATGTGTGGAGTTTATTGACTGGAGGGAGGAAAGCTAGTGATTGCTGGCTATGGACGCTATATGGTGATTTGAGCTTCAGGCAACACCTCTCAAGACAGCGATCCGCATATAACGTCAGCTCATGGAGCCTCCTCAATATCATAACACCAGTGTCAATACAACCTCAAATATCTAGACATTGGCAATTTGTGTACACTGTGCAAGAGCAAACATATTTCCTTTGCTCAGTTAAACACACAGACATTTGGATCATCCCTGGGTGGTATTTGTTCAGCCACCTTTAATACACTACCCACATCCTCACAGCATGGATAGTTGTCTCTCCTTTAACATGAGAGACTTTGTGAATCTCCCGCCATCTAGAGAGTCAGGAAACCCTTAGGCTTCTTCATTTGTTTTGACAGAATACATAAAAAATATTTCTTGAATTATTATGTTTAGCAAAAAAGGTCATCCACTCAGATGCAACAATCCTAGTTTTAAAGGCATGTACGTTTCAACCAGTTTGGCGGCATTTCAATTAACAAATTCATAAAAACAGACATCACAAGCCATTTCTGAACTTAACATTTTCATATTCTGTAAATGTAACCATGCAGGTGAAAACATAATCACACATATCAAAATCCCACATATTGGTACTTAATTATCATGGGTTAGGGTTATTGACTTTTGTCTTCTTTCATAGCCCATTTCTGAGTTGGATGATAAACTAACAGCACAGTTGTTAGATGACATGTTTCTCTGCAGACACAGATGGGATTCCAAATTAAGAACTGCGTTGTGTCTAATGTGGCTTGGCACTCAGATCAGTGACCAGCTGAAACTCTTATATATTTAGTGCCTGGCTCAAAGCAGTCATATGAATGTGTTAAACACAGCTGCACAGTCATCCACTAGTCATGGTAAAATACTGGAGACCATGAGTGAAATATTTTGTTTCTTTTGCATATCTGAAAAGCCACAGCTCCTCCTTTAGAGTACTGAGTCATACGTCAAAGAAAGGGTTTGTGTTCACACTCATACTCACCAAGTTTATGTTGGTGTTATTGCTGTCTTCTTCAGGCATGGGCAGGAACACAGCCAAAGCAATACAGTTTGCAAAGATGGTCAATAAGATGATGATCTCAAAGGTTCTGGATGAGGAAACTCAGGATCATAACAACAACACACGAGGAGGACTGGTAAACTCCCGGTTACCACGAAAAGGAACTTTAACAAAGGGATACAATTTGCTTGGAGTAATATAATTGATGATGATAATATTTGAGTTAATTGTGTACATGTCCAGTAACGGATGGGTAAGAAACACTGTTAGAATATAAATTGTAAATTTCATGTTTTGTGATTTAATGTAACAAATCAAATAAATCAAACTCTGATTATATTAATAAGTGCCTCTAAATGCCGCCTGAAACATCATCTCTGTTCTAGCCCATTGCTTAGCCACAGTACATGTAACTTTGTCTGCTGTGCTGCTTCATTCTTGTCCATAGAGGGCTCTCTCAGAGAATTCCCCTGCCAGGTCAGCATCATGTCTCCCTGTGATGCCGCAGGACAGCTGCACAGCCCAAGAATATGATCACACCATTTAAACACAGACTACTCATCAGAAATAATGCAGTATGGTCATTCTACATTCTATAATGGATATTCATTTATCCTAAAATCTGTGAGCATTTATATACTTTTTAAAAGTACAATTAGAAGGATTTAAGGGGTTCAGCCTATTCCTGTTATTAGGTTCTAAACATAACATCAATGCATTCTGTTACAGAATAACATACCAACGTGATTTAACTAACCCATGACCCGACTGAGGATTGGGAGACAATAAATATTTACACAATCATCTCTGTTCTATTGTGACATTAGGGCAGTCACTAGATAGATATAATTAGTTCTTTCTATTTTGGATGTAAAATATGTATTATCCAGGAATGGACATCAGGCTAAAAGCAGGAAACCCCCTTTAGGGGCCCTAACATCACTCAGCAGTCTGCCTTGTCCTCAGGCTTCAAGCCTCACAGAGTGCCAGCACTTCAGAGCAGCTATTTGCACATTAAAAGTAGAATGTCAGCTATCAGGACACTAACAGGCGGCTTCATTAATTGTCTGCCAGATGTAAATAGATTGGCTTAAGAGGCTCTCCAGGTGAAAATACAAAGGCTACAAACCTCACTTTGATAGAGCTACCAAATACATAACCAACGTCTTAACATTTCAGGGATCGCCTTAACACAGTTCGATAGAGGCTTGGCTTGGGCATGCTTACCACAGGTGAACTACATGGCTGATAATTAACCTGTATCTCAGTGTTCTTAACCAGAGCCCTACATGTTGTTAAAACCTTGAGTATCATACATACTGTATACTCAGGGGTAAAATACTTCCAAGCCAATTTCTACTTCTTATTACAAACACAAAAGTCTGCGAGTTGTGTATAATGTAGGCAGGTGTGTGTATGTGAGATATAAAGGATACTTCCACTCCACAATGCTGGTACAGGCCTTACGGAAGGGATTTTTGAGGTTGAAGAGGAAGAGGGTTCTCGCAGGTCGAGGGTTTCCCCCTGTGGCCTGTAGCTTCTTCAGCTTCTCCTTCTGCTTTCTCTTCAGCTCCTCTTCATTCATAATAACCAGCTTGTCCTCTGCTTTGGCCGCCATCTTTACACCTCAACCGGTAAACGCTCCTAGTCCTGTAGAAGTGTGTCTTCTTACTGAATAATCCCAAACTGAGGCACTTTATATCTCCCGGTTGTGAAGGCCCCGGAGTTCCAGACCTGCCGATCCTGTGTGCGCTCCTCTGCCGCCTTCTCTCCCCTCTCCCCCTGACTCTGTCTCCCTTACGCAGAGCCACAGGCCTCTCCTCTTGGCTGAGGGTCTTTGACAGAAAAACCCCCTCGGCAGAGAAAAATAACAGGAGCCCAGAGTGGCTGGAGGAGCAGTTGGCCCTGCTGTAGTTTAAATTTAGACTGAACCACTGACAGGCCATGCTTGGGGATGGTTAGGGGGGTATGGGAGTGGAGGTGGGGGGGTGTAAGGTAGAAGATGGGAGTAGATGTGATCAGGGAGAGGTTGGGTCAGGGCAGCAGTGGCAGACTAGAGCACAAGAAGGGGACAGACACAGTTTAGGGGATTTGCGCAGTAGCAGAATATCACCATTAGCCCCCTGAACCTTCTCTCCTTTTCAAAACAGACTCAGCTGCTGGACACTGGTGTTGAACCCTAAACTGTCAGGAGAGGAAGAGAAAATACACATGGATATTTCTGCCTCACAATCTCAAACTATCAAACACTGTTTTTACATGTTGGATATTCTCTATCTGAATCCTTGGGGGGGAGGAGTCTGGTTGTATTTATACTAAACGGTTTGTATACTGCTTAAATAGGAGATGGTAAAGGCGTTCCAATGTAGGTCACAATATAGAAAATGCAGGCAAGATTGACATTTACTAATCAAAATGATGTTCAATGGTAAGCCTTACTTTAGACGTCTCGTTTTATAAATTTAAGATTAAAATGTGATCAAAAAAAGTGTCTATAGTTGGGTTGTTACCACGCGTGGCATATACCTTCATCATACACCTTGTTAAAAAACAACAAATAAGTGCTCAGAATCACTCATTTGTAAAACAGATTTTTGATGATCTGGGAACAAAATAACAGCTTCTAACTTTTTTGTTTGTGTATAGTCCATGTGTGCAAGCCCACTTATTGTGTACTCTGTCACCCCCTATTGTCAATCAGCAATAGCAGCGACTTCTGCCGCAAACATCCAGAGGAAGAGGGAGGGGGGGGGGTGAAAGCATTTATATATATATATTTTTATTTCACATCAAGCAGAATGTATAAATATGAGCAGTGACATAATCCAGTGAGACTGGAGCAATATACAACAACATAACACGGATACTAGTTATAGGAAACTATACTTACAATCAATCAATCAAAAACACTTCAATGATAATACAAACCGTGACAGACAAATACACTGCAGCAGTTCACATTGTGCATGAGAGGATGTGGGCCAGTTTGCTGTATTAAAAGGTCCCTAACAGGGAACTTCAGTAGTAGGATGCAACGGGGAATTCACTGACACATAATTATTCACTTGAGGGCAAAGAGGCATCCTGGTTCTGCCACACTTAACCGCATTATCAGCAGCTTTACTGATTTAGGACATTCTCCAGTAGGAGAGATTTGATTACACTGAGGATAGCTTTAGAGCTTTGTGAAATGCCCCGTTCTCCAGTTCTCTCTTTGCATGGGAAAGTATGTTCACGCAAAAACCTCACTGAACAAACCTTTTTCAATCAGTTTTCACATTTACATTCAAGATAAAATATTTAATTTATACTAACAACTAACACTATTAAAACTAATGAATTGGTAGACCTTACAATCTGTTATATTTCACAACTGTGAATTGCTGACATTTAGGATCCATGTTTTGCACTGGACTTTGTTGTCACACATTCACCCTCACAAGGAAAGAAACAGAAAAGGCACATATTGGGGCTCTTATATGTAGCAAGGTCAGAGCCTTAAAACAACGAACCCCAACATTTATAATCCATCAATTACTCTATTAATCCAAATGATACTCAATATACCCAAGTAACTATGCACAGCAATGGGAGACAAATAAATTACTAAAATGATTACTAGTGCTAAACTAGGAAATGTGCTATGCTTGACAATAGCATAGGTAGAGAACTCTTTCTACCCAAATAGACCATTCACATACACAAAGCATTTCTGTTCTGAGGTAACTTCATAAATTATGCTGCAAGAAAAAAAAACAGCTTAACAATATACCAAATCAGCAAGAAGCTAAAATGAAAAATGATAGAGGAATCTTAGAAACTAGTCAGTCTCGCTTAATTTACTAAATCAAGACATTCAAAATCTGTTGCATTGCAAATTGCTGAAATGATTGAGATGGTTTCAAGCAGTTAACAGTGCGCAACCATGCCATTTTTTTCACAACTGCAACTTTGCCTAAAATGTTACATATAATAAATAAAAAGCACCTGCTTGTTAGATCAGTATGTCTTCTTAGTGAGGAAATACTTATTGAGAGGGTGCCATACACAGCATTAACAAAAAGGTTAGTAGTAGTGCAGCTGGTGACAGTGTAATAGCGCTGAGCCCAGGTAAGTTATTCTAAACCTTCTTTGAGGTCAGCTGTGGGGTTTAACTAAGCATCTTGTGGCGGTCAAAAACTGTCTTGCGTTGTTCCTGGACCTGCTTTTTCCAGCGCTGCTGTGCTCCTTCAACCCGCTCCAGCACTGTGTTTCCTTTGGCCTGGGCACTGTCCACAGGAGGACGCATCTCCTGAACACACAAAAACAAAGAATAAATTAAAAAATTCAAGGATTTCACATTCAACTGATATAAAATAAAGACATATACTGTATGCAGTGTGCAAAACACAAATTTGATCCAGGGCTTGGGCGAGACCTCCCACGATTGCCACACGGTATTTCGCACACTGACGTGATTACACGTGTTATTTGTTAGAATGGTTACCTCAGAGTCCTCCTCATTGTGCAGTGGCTGGGTGTAGGCGTCATGTTTGCGAATAAGAGGATCAACCAGCAGCAGGAACAGCATGTAGAGCAGCAGCGCACCCACAACAGACAGGTAAATGATGATGGTTACCTGGGACGGACAGAATGGAAAACATTCAGAAATTGGTATATTTGGAGGTATATTTCAAAGTCACTAAAATCCCAAAGAAAGCTGGTGGTACCTTGATGGTGTTGCTACTTCGTTCCTCGTACTTGCACTCACACAACAGGCAGTAAGCTTCCACGTCATGGCCAGGCACCGGCATGGGCTCCACTACATGGAGGCAATTACTGTAAAACACATCAAAGTGTCGGGATGGACGGGCAACTCTTAATCGTGTTTCTCAATGACTGAACGACTAAATAAAAGCTTTCTCTTACCAATCCTTCTGAGTCACATTTCTGTTATATATGTGGCCAGTGAAGTTTCTGTATGGCGGGCAGATGCACTTGCAGCGAACATCCTCAAAGTTCTGTAATCATCAAAAGAATTGAGTGAAAGTGAGCACAAACTTGGCGAACCGCTTCCTAAAATGCCTCAGCTCACATGTCTTGTTTTCATGCTATGTTGTCTCCATAGCACTAGCCCTCTCTCTGCATTATTAACACAATTAGGTTAAAGAAAAAGTTAGTAATTCTTGCTTGAAAGGCAAGAATTCTGAATCAACATAGTTACATTAGAGTCAAATATATCCTTTAAAATGCTTCACTTTTCATCAAACCACTCATTATTTACAGAAACTTAAGAATTCAATGCAAACTTTACTTTTCATAGGAAACTCTGGTGCATTCATTTTGGCCTTGACTGCAAGCAAAAACAATGTTTTGATATTAATGACCCTCAATTTACATTAAAATGAATTGTTTGGATACACCGGGTACTCATACTCATATTCAATTTACCTCAGTTCATTTACTCTGACCACATTTCATATTCATGAATCAAAAATTTATAAGGAAGAAGCCAAACTATTATTATAAATGTCAAACAATACATTTCATCTATAGCTGAAACACCTGAAAACTTTACACGGTTACAGTGGTTATGTTGTGGGTTACAAGCTGAATACTTGTATCGGTCTCAAATTAAGTTTAATGGGAAAAAGACATTAATTAACATATAGCTAACGCTACATAAACAAACATAATTATTAATAATACGGTCCACAATAACACTGGTTTTATTCCACTCTCTCTCAATACTAATATTACAGATACACGTGCAGTTTAGTCTCCTTCACAAAGGGATTTTGCTTTAGGACAAATAAGTTAAGTGAAGGGGAAAAGGGACACACAACAGTTTATGGATGTTACTACTGAGGGTTTCTGAAAGCATCTGTCACGTGCGGAGCTGCATGATTTACCTTCGCCTGCACAACAACAAGAGCATCCAGCAACAACAAGGTCACCACTGCGGGTACAACAGATGTCCACGATAGTTTCCTTCCAGAGGACATGTTCCAACAGGAGACACGATTTGCTCGATGGTCTCAGAATGAGCTGCAGCGCTCTGTCAAAAACAAACGCAGCGTTAGCAGTTAGCTAGCAAGAAACACACGAGAGTTCACTGCAGATTCACTGAAGCTAAAGGCAACCTTAACTAGCAATACAGTTTACTTACGTTGTAATGGTAGCTGGAGTGTTTGTCGCTGCTATGCATTCAGGGTGTAGCTAATGCACCAGCCAGCTGTATTTATTTAGAAGAAAGAAATGTTGGACTTCCTTGTTCCGGGTTGTCGTCAGACGTCACGTGCGCCACGCAAGAAACATGCATCGACACTGACACCTACTGGACACAAATACAGAAATAGACTCTTTATAACTTGCATGTTATGTTACGTTGTACTCCACAACATTTCAGAGTTAAATATTGTACTCTAATAGAATATGATGGAGTGTTATTTACAGGGGCGTATAATGAGGGGAATATTGGAACTAACTACCCAGAGCCCCAACATGCATAGGGCTCTGAGAAAGTCTGCAATTAAAAGTTTTTCTGCAAATATAATTATAATTAGCAATAAACTTAGTCCTGTTGGGCCAAATCAATTGTTAGTCAAGAAAGTTTCCAAATACCTCTCCGCTATCTTGATCAGTTTTACTATTGTGCTTAGAAACATTACTGATGCATACAGTCAACTTGAAGCAGCAGCTGAAATCTTTAACACCTTGGACTGAGTTTTTATTTAACATGACTGTGTTAAGAGCAGTCAATCAGTTTGTTTAGGAGTACTTTAAACACTTAGTTTAGTATATTTTTGTGATGGTATTTCAGTGCTTTTCTGTTTTGAATGCAGGCCTTTTACTGGAGTATTTGTACATAGGGGTATTGCTTCTCTTTACTGCCTGTACTGTTTTTCTCTTCGGCAGACAGAAACACAACTCAAGTGATTGAGTATCTTGAGTAACAATCATCGTTTATCAGTCACATTTATGATGAGATAACATCAATATTCTGTATTATTCTAAACACACTACCATGGAATTTATGACTCAACAGAATGTTTTTCCATATCTTTCAGTCAAAATGCTTTTTTTCTTTTTTAAATGTCGAACCATGTCTCCCTGGTGAAATCTGAAATGTAAGCCACAGCTTCTTGACCCAATCAATACCTCTATTTCCTGGTAATCCTGCTTTCACGTCTCTCTGTAAGATACTCATACCTTTAATAAGCCATAGAAATCAATGCCTCACAAATTCAGCCTGAACCACTTGAGCTTGCGGTCACAGAGATCAATGGAGACCATGGTTATTTCTCTAATGAGCTATGACATCGGTGTGAACAGCACAACATGCATGTGCCGCTTGATTCAACCACTTAAAACAACTGCAATAGTTACTGATCTTTCATTCATTCAATCATGCTTGCATTTATTCATCTGTGTAATAATCACTGTGTGTCTTTGTAGCCATAATGCATGTAGTATAATAAACCAGCTCATAAACTCGCTTCAGTTTGGGACTTATGCAAGCCCTCTACTTGTATTTCGTTCTCTCAGTCCTGTCATTGTAAGCCACTTAGTTCCCTGTCTTCTCTGATGCATGGCTGCCCTTTACACCCTTAGGCCAATTACAGCATAAATGACAGTGACCAGAGCTCAGTGCCAGGTCTCATTATCGCTTCAGAGCTCTCATGAAGAAGAAAAAAGGTGATTCATTTCCTTTTTAGGTAGAGGTAACCAATTTCATTCATTTCAGAAAGAAAATAAATCTAGTAACCTTATGTCAAATACTTTATTATCTCAAAACAAAACTGTAATTGATGCAGACAGACACAAATGTTTTGACAAAGTTTGTGGGCAGGGACTGCGCACAGTCTGATTATCAAACGGCAAATGAAAATGATCCCTAATGGAAACACTGCAGAGAAATCCACCTTATAAACAAACTCAAATATGTCAAGTTCTCTTATTTGTCAAGGTACCTGGAGTTATTGACTGAATCACATTATTCAAGCATTCATTTCATGAGACTGAAAACAGCAGGCAGTTTGCCCACTAGGAGATGCTATAAGGCCCACGGCAAAGCAAACTGAATCCAGACCAGCAGACTTTGGGTGAAACATACTTTGGAGTGATCTACAGGGATACAGATAAGATGTAGGAAGATATAATGCAAAACAAGATTCAATATGTTGTGAAATCCACAGGTGAAGCTACATAAAAACAAACCTTGATGTTTGATTTAAATTGCATTAATGGCAGGTTTGTAGCACCACAGAATACAACGTGACTCAACAGAATTTAATATGAATCAGTGTAGATATATATTGTAACAAAAATTGTATGTGGTTTATAGCATACAAATGAAGTCATACATGTCCTACTGAAAGAAGATACCAGTGTCTGTCCTTATTTTCGCACTTTCAATACACCCCTCCACCTTTCAGCATTGTTCTTTTTGACCTTTATCACATAGTCTACAGTATCTTTTTGCTCTCCTCCCTTCCTCCGTATCATGTTTTTGTAGAGAACACTGTTTGAATAACAAGCCTATCTCTGTGTGTTAACTCTCCTCTCCTCTCCTATCCTCTCGGCTGAGGCGATGCATTGTGGGCAGCAGCACTATTCTCATAGACACACATGGTAATTACAGTAGTAGGAGGCAGCAGACAGTGGTGGTCCAGGGACAGCACAAAACTATAAATCACAACTCCTGGTTCCGCCCTCCTGAGCGTAGCCGATCACGCTCAACCAAAAAGCAATTCTGCCAACATGTGTTTGCACATTTGTCTTCATCAGCCACTGGCTTGTTTTGGGCCCCAGCGACGGAATTTTCTTCAAACGTGGACTACTTCTCAAGTGTTACAATCAAAGTCCGCTTTATCAGGCTCAACAATTATCCACACTTGAGATGTAGTGAGCATAGTTATTTTATGTCAGCAAATACCAATAACATTAAATGGTGAAGAGGGTACTCTGTGTTTACTTTGAACATTGTGGTGAAGTAAAAAATCAAAACAAAAGCAAGAATGAAACCATTAAATACATACAAAATATAACCTTAATCACCTTCACTTTAGCTTTAGTTTTTTTGTTTCGAAGGTAGCATGAGATGCTTTAAGGAGAAGTGTCCAAATCAAAGAGGTGGAAATAGCAAAGGTGTTAGAAAAGTAGGCAGTGATGGTGATTCAGAGTACAGTGTTTGTCCTCTCCTGCTTTATCCATACGGACAGCTGCCTGTCAGCCAGCTGAGCCCATGGAAAGAAGAGGCGTCTGCTGAGGAGCTGGTGTCAGCAAGGTGAGAGCAGAACCCAGCTGAGCTGAGCTGAGCCGAGCTGAAATGGATGCGGTGGAGAGAACGTCTCCTGCCTCTGAGGGACACAGATTTTCAGCAAGGAAACAGACTGCTGGAGCAGGAGACTCAGCCAGACAGAACATGAAAGGCAAGAGCGGCCATGACACATGATGGACACAAACGCAGGGAGAGAAGCTGCCTCCTCTACCTACCCTTTCCCCCCTCTCCTTCAGCAGTGCTGCACCGAAACAGGACCCCTGAAGGAGAGGGGGAAAGGGAAAAGAGAGATGATGCTACAAACACAGTGCTTCCCAGTTGAACCCTAGCCCCCTGTAATGTGTGGTCTTTGATGTTGCCCAAGATGTTTAGAGAGATGCAGGGAAGCTTCAAAGAGAGCTAAAGGCCAATCATAGAATCATGGCATTTTGGTAGAAAAAAAACAAAACAGCAAGCTGCCAGAAATCCTCATGCATCCTTCAAGAGAGACCAGGGGTCAGGCAAGAAGACAGCTGAAAACAATAGCGAGAAATGAAAGGTGACATGAATTGAAAGGTAGATAAATAGCTGCAGGGGAGGGAGGAAGGAAGTTTGTTGTTGGCATAAAAGGATGCAATGTAGGCTTTGTTCTCGGAAAAGCTGCCAGTTGGTTTAACAAGGCTTGGCAGGCCAGTCAATAGAATGTCAGCCATTAACGTCCACATTTCAGTGACACCAGCGACCAGCATACGAATGATTTATACATCTAGTGATGCATAGAATTCTTAAAGATAGAAATGCTATACACCTGGCCGATCAAGACAGCAAACTAAATAAAACGGATGCATGTTTGTCACGTATGTCTCACTAACACAGAACCATATAGAAATCATATGTGACACCTTTTCTGTGTCAGCTGCCTCAATGAATAAGGGGAAACAAGTTATAAAAGGGCCAAATGTCACAAAGAGTCAAGGGTTTTTCAGACAAAACTATGGCAGATCAGAAAACATTGTCAAGTCTAATCCTTCCAAGAAGGACCTCACCCATAATGTATCCGGTCTGTGGTGGGGCAGGGGGTCTTCATGTAGTAGAGGGGCTTTTCCTTAATGGGATGGTGATGAGCCACAGTGATCTAGTCGATGCCTCCCCCTTACACTATCTCCAGAGATTCCCATGTTGTGGCAGTTTGATATTCACCTGCCCCAGCTACAGGCCACATCTGCAGGCATGATGGGTTTTGTCTGCAGGGGCCTCCTCCTCCAAATGCCATTGTGACTCACCTTCCTCTGTTTCGGCATTTACTACAATCTGACCTGGCAGCTCAGTGGTGTGTCACCATGGACTATAGCCCCCGGCACTTTCACAAACACAAACCTGAAACAATTGTATACTTAAGACGTAGAGTACAACGCAGCATGGCTGAATAACAGATACCCATCTTCTGTAAACAAGGGAAACATTGGAATGGTGCTTTTTCTCTCTCTGAGACCAGAAGTGGCTTGCAGTGAATCAGATGTAGACGGAGGGATCAGAGACACAACTTGTCATCTCACAGCTTCAGAAATCAATAGAGCCCGCCCGCTCTCCCTCTAATCTCGACACACGTGTGGATTGTGCTCGGGTGGACCGGGCCTGAAAAGGAAGCAGGGAAGTAGAAAGAGAAGTAAAGGCATGCAAAAAGAAAAGAGAGGACGAGACGTGAGGATTGAGTAAGGGGACATCTCCCATGTAGTGAATGCGCATTGATCAATTCAGAAAGGGACTTAAGAGGCTGAATTTAAGGGGTTATTTCACCCAAAAACTAAAAAAACATTTCTTTCATGTTCCTCTTTTTGTCCAGGATTTTGGATTGTCATTTCAGATTTTTGCCTCCTACCAAAAAGTGGGAGTGCAATTCATTTTGTTTGTGGTGCTTACACCATTGAAAAATGACATTACTAAATGTAATTGATAATGTGTCTTCCCAAAAAACATGTTCACATTACTCTGGATAAACAGATTTTCTTAGAATGACTTGGAATG